TGAACGTGGTGGAGGCGCTGCAGGAGTTCTGGCAGATGAAAGCCCAGCGCGGGGCGGAGCTGAAGAACGGCGCCCTGGTCATCTACGAGTCCGTGCCTTCATCCTCCCCGCCCTACGTGTGTTACGTCACCCTCCCCGGGGGGTCTTGCTTCGGCTCCTTCCAGGTGGGTCATCCGGGGGAGCGCCGTGGAGGGCTGCCCAAGGTGGCGGAGGGGAGGGCCGAGCGCGGAGGGGAGGGCCGAGCGCGGAGGGGAGGGCCGAGCGCGGAGGGGAGGGCCGAGCGCGGAGGGGAGGACCGGGATTGGTAATTGGCCTTTCGGTGGGCTTTCGTAACGGGTGGGACTCTGATAAGGTATAATGGTGATGGGATGTTTGGGGAGGGCATTAGCAATTGCATGATGCGGGTAGTTTGGTGTGGCAAATAATGGTTGTTCCTTTAATGGTAATTATTCTTTTAATCCCAAGGCAATTAAGAAGTTTAAGAGCTATCACATCTTCCCTCTCGTTTTGCACATACGCGCAATTATCTTGCCTTGGTATGCGGCCATTATTTCACTAAATGTACAGCTACAGTACTTCCTTACTCAGACAATTACCTTAATCACAAACTAAATATTGTTTCTCTCACTATTAACATTCCATATAGTCAGCGTTGCCTGCCTTAATCAATCATATTTCATGGATAGAGTAAAACGTATGAATCAAAGAGAAATAAAAAAGCCAAAAATAAAAGAAATTACTGCCACGACCACCATGTGCAGCGACCTCTAAGCGTCGCAGCACTGCAAAGGAGTATCCTCTTTTATGCTTTCCTCGAAACGTCACAGATAGAATAGTTTCCTGTCTCATTCTGACAGGAGATTCGTCTAATTATTTTCCACTCTTTACCGTGTTTATTGAGTCTGACCGAGTTTTCCGGCTCTTCCCAGAACTGCCCAACCAAGGCCGAAGCCAGACGCAGCGCCGCCAAGATTGCGCTGATGAACTCCGTGTTCAACGAGCACCCGTCCCGCAGGATCTCCGACGAATTCATCGAGAAGGCCGTGGCCGACGCTCGGGCACAGTTCAAGGTGAGAGCCAGCTGGGGGTGGTACTAGGCAGGGATTGTACTAGGTGGGGATGGTACTAGGCAGGGATGGTACTAGGTGGGGATGGTACTAGGCAGGGATTGTACTAGGTGGGGATGGTACTAGGCAGGGATTGTACTAGGTGGGGATGGTACTAGGCAGGGATTGTACTAGGTGGGGATGGTACTAGGCAGGGATTGTTCTAGGTGGGGATGGTACTAGGCAGGGATTGTACTAGGTGGGGATGGTACTAGGCAGGGATTGTACTAGGTGGGGATGGTACTAGGCAGGGATTGTACTAGGTGGGGATGGTACTAGGCAGGGATTGTACTAGGTGGGGATGGTACTAGGCAGGGATTGTTCTAGGTGGGGGTGGTACTAGGCAGGGATTGTACTAGGTGGGGATGGTACTAGGCAGGGATTGTACTAGGTGGGGATGATACTAGGCAGGGATTGTTCTAGGTGGGGGTGGTACTAGGCAGGGATTGTACTAGGTGGGGATGGTACTTGGCAGGGATTGTTCTAGGTGGGGGTGGTACTAGGCAGGGATTGTACTAGGTGGGGATGGTACTAGGCAGGGATTGTTCTAGGTGGGGGATTGTAGGTGGGTGGTACTAGGCAGGGATTGTACTAGGTGGGGTGGTACTAGGCAGGGATTGTTCTAGGTGGGTGGTGGTACTAGGCAGGGATTGTTCTAGGTGGGGGTGGTACTAGGCAGGGATTGTACTAGGTGGGGATGGTATAGGCAGGGATTGTTACTAGGTGGGGATGGTATAGGCAGGGATTGTACTAGTGGGGATGGTACTAGGTGGGGATGGTACTAGCAGGGATTGTACTAGGTGGGGGATGGTTACTAGGCAGGGATTGTACTAGGTGGGGATGGTACTAGGCAGGGATTGTTCTAGGTGGGGGTGGTACTAGGCAGGGATGGTACTAGGCAGGATTGTACTAGGTGGGGATGGTACTAGGCAGGGATTGTTCTAGGTGGGGGTGGTACTAGGCAGGGATTGTTCTAGGTGGGGGTGGTACTAGGCAGGGATT